CCCTGTGGGGCGCTCCTCCCGACCCGTCGGCCAGGGGCCGGCCGAAGATGGCTTCCAGCTCTTTGGCGTCGGGCGGGGGGATGGGGTACCTCCCGATGGACAGCTCCACCAGGGACAGGCCCATGCTCCAGATGTCTGACTGCACGGAGTAGTGCGTGCCCTGGAGTCGCTCTGGCTGTCGGGGACAGGAAGGGTTGCTGGGGCACGGGACCCGGCCCCGCCGCGCCCACCTGCCCGCCTGCCCGCCGCGCCCACCCCCCGGGAGACAGACGGGAGCGTGACACCTCCGCTGGGGCTTGGAGCTGGAGTCCGGCAGCCCTTTAAACACCCACGACGTGCAGGGCTTGCGGGAAAGGGCGGCGGCCTCAGGCGGACTGAGAAGTCACCCCCGTGACCCACTGGACAGGCTCCTGCAAGGCCCGTCCCCCGGACACCCTCGCTCCCATTTCTGAGGTCAGAGCACACTCAGGGTCCCTGCCGAGAGCCGCCCATGGCGGGCATCTCTGGGGAGACAGGGCACAAAGGAAGGCCAAGAGGCACGGCGGGGCGTGACCTGTACCCCACAGGGGCTGGCCCGAGACCCCGGAGCACCCCAGGCGTGTGCATGCCCGTGAGCCGGGGCTGCTGAGGCCAGGGCGGACCAGGCGTCCAGACAGGTCGGGAGCAGCCTTCCTCTCTCACGGGAGACACAGGTACACAGGAGCCAGCAGACGCACCAGTAACGTCGCTGGACTCCCATGTAGGTGACCACAGTCCGAGCCTCGGACCCGGGCCCTCTGTTACAGTAACATAAACCCGGCTGGGAGAAGCCGCCTTTCTGAACCTTCTGGAAAACGGGAGCGAGCTCGTCGAAGAGGGCAAGGTCTGGTTAAGGGAGCTGCACTCCACACGGCTGGCCCTGGTTCGAGTCCTGGCCCCAGAGGCGTGCGAGGCGGGCGTCTCTGGAGGCACTTACAGACATGTAGGAGCGCGTCCCCACGAAGGAGTTGGCCATGGAGTCGATGAGCTGCCCGCTCACCCCGAAGTCACAGAGCTTGATCTCCCCCCTGGAGTTGACCAGGATGTTGGAGGGCTTCACGTCTGAGGACAGGGGAGGCCACAGGTGAGGGGTGCTCGGCCCCGGCACCAGCCCCGCGCCGGCCAGGGCGTCGGGCACCCGCTCACCTCGGTGCATGATCTGGTGCTTTTCCCGGAGGTAGGCCAAGCCCCGGAGCACCTGCCGGAGCCACAGGGTGGGGTCAGGACGGCCCGCGGTCAGGCCAGAGCCACCACGGCGTGCGGGACGAGCAGGGACCCCGGTCGGGGGCCGCTCGCCGGTGTAGACGCCCATGCCAGGTGCTGGGGGGACGCCTCTAAACTCCTGGCCCCCGCAGGAGTCTCCTGGGAGGTGGGCGCGGCCCAGGCCCCGACTTCAAGATCAGGGAGCCGGGGTGCCTGAGGCTACCAGGGGCCTGAGGGCGCACTAGGGCGGAATCTGCACTTGGCCGGGGACCATGCTGGCCCCCCCAGGGCGGAGCGGGCTATGTCGGGGGGGGCCACTGCCCATGCTGGCCCCCCCAGGGCGGAGCGGGCTGTGCGGGGGGGAGCCACTGCCGGGGGCTGAGGCCACCGGGGAGGCCGGGCTCGGGTCCTGGCACCACCGAGCAGGGCGGGGGACGGCATGGCGCACAGCTGTGGTCCCAGATAATGGCGAGGCCAGGAGGCTGTGCTATGGGAGACCCTGCGGAGGGCGCCCCGCCCCTTGCATCGGCTCACTGGAACAAGGTTTAAGCCGACCCCGACACAAGCTGGGCACCCCGATCCGGAACACCCGGGGGCTGCCCCACGGCCCTGTGGTTCGGGGAGCCGGAGCCCACATAGCTAACCACGGTGGCTGGAAAACACAGCAGGTGTGACTGCACATGTGCCCCGAACCCCGACACGCCGGGACGGGAACTGGAGCCAGGCTGCGTGTGACTGTGCCCATGGCCACGCTGGCTCTCTCCGGTGCACACACGCCCTCAGGCGGAAAAAAGGACCCGGGAAACGGGGTTTGTGAGCCCTGAGCCGACAGAGACCCCGGGTCATGCCAGCCCAGGCCCCACAAACCTGGGCCCATGGCGGGGACCTCCCGCCACACCTGGGCACCCTGACACAGGCTGGCTGGGGTGGAGCGCAGTGCCCAGACCCACCCCCCGAGGGAAGAACAGAGAAACTAAGAGGAAGCTCAAGGCCTGGGAGGGGCCGGGCTGGACGGGAGGGGCCGGGCTGGACGTGAGAGGCAGGGCTGGACGGGGGGGCCCTGGCCGCGGGGGTACTTACCGCGATGCTGACCTTGCCCAGGACCTCCTCGGGGACCCTCTTGGCTTCCTTCAGCACCTGGTCCAGGGAGCCGCCATCCTAGAGGTGCAGAGGACAGGGCGCTGCCGAGGGGCCCCGGCATAGCTGCCGCAAGGCCGTGGGGACGGGGAGACGCCGAGATGCTGGGGCAGGGGACAGGACCCGGAGGGGCTGGGGCTGAGCCCCACCTGGGCTCCTTCCTCGCTTCCCTGTCCGGTCAAGTCACAGAATAATAATACGAGGCTAGCGCGTGGCGTAGTGGTAGGGCAGATCAACAGCAGTTTGAGCCTCAGACCTACTGGCTTAAACTCACGCCGGGCGCGTGTGCGTGCATGCCCAAGATCCCGAGAGAACAGAGGAGCAGGGACTGCAGTGTGGCCATTCCCCCCTCTGGGGGGGTGATTTCCCGCTTTCTGTCTCCGTCTCTCCAGTGAGCACATGTAGCCTACAGCAAAAACCTCTCTGGGAAAGAAAAAAACAAACACCAGAAGGTGGCTGTGGGGCCAGCAGGTGGCATGGTGGTTAAGGATGCTGGGCTCCCACATGGCTGAACTGTAGTTCGAGTCCTGGACCTGGCGGCTTGATTTCTCACTCTCTGTCCCTCTCT